GGTCCGCGGGCCGACGCTCTAACCACTGAACAAACCTGCCAGGGCTTTTTATTGATTTTAGAGAGAGAGAAAGGGAGAGGGAGAGAGAGAAACATCGATGAAGAGAACATAGACTGGCCGCCTCCTGCACGCCCCCCACTGGGGATCGGGCCCACAACCTGGGCATGTGCCCTGACCGGGAATCGAACCAGCGACCTCTTGGTGCAGGGTCGACGCTCAACCACTGAGCCACACTGGCCGGGCTGTCCATCACTTCTAAGTAACAGAACAGGAACGCAGGGGTTATGCTGGCTCCTGTCGGCAAGTCCAGGAGTTGCTCTTACCTGGGGACAGCCGGGTCCCGGGTCCAGGAACGTGTCCGCACTGCACCCCTTGTGTCGGAGTTGTTCTCATGTGACAAGGTGGCTGTCAGAGGCGCCCGTGCTGCTGCCTGTCCCCTTGGCCACGCAGCACAGAGCTCACCGGCAGGTAAGCCAGTGACCCACAGTTGAGTGTCATCGGCTGACAGGGCTCACCTGGACCACATGGTCGGGGGTATAAGCTCTGATTTCTGATTGGCGGGGCCTGGGTCACCTGCCCACCCTGGTGTGTTATACCCACTGCCGTGGGAGCTGGGTGCTTCCCACGGGTGAACAGGTAGGAGTTGTCACCTGACTCAACTGGTTGAGGCCACACCAGACTCAAAGCTCCCCCTGAGGGCTCCTGGGAAGGAAAGAGGGGCTGGTTCCCCAAATTCCCCGGTACAGCCAACTGTCTTTCTTAACAGACATTCAAGATGCAGTCAGCACAGGACAGCGATCCCAGCCTCTTCGACCTTTCTGAGCTTCTGCCCTCAATGTGCAGTGTGGGAAGGGGTGAGAGTGTGTGTGTGTGTGTGTCCTCGATGTGCAGTGTGGGAAGGGGTGAGGGTGAGTGTCCTCGATGTGCAGCGTGGGAAGGGGTGAGTGTGTGTGCGTGTCCTCGATGTGCAGCGTGGAAGGAGTGTGTGTGCGTGTCCTCGATGTGCAGCGTGGAAGGGGTGAGGGTGAGTGTGTGTGTGCGTGTCCTCGATGTGCAGCGTGGAAGGGGTGAGGGTGAGTGTGTGTGCGTGTCCTCGATGTGCAGCGTGGAAGGGGTGAGGGTGAGTGTGTGTGTGCGTGTCCTCGATGTGCAGCGTGGAAGGGGTGAGGGTGAGTGTGTGTGCGTGTCCTCGATGTGCAGCGTGGAAGGGGTGAGGGTGAGTGTGTGTGCGTGTCCTTGATGTGCAGCGTGGAAGGGGTGAGGGTGAGTGTGCAGGTCCTCGATGTGCAGCGTGGAAGGGGTGAGGGTGAGTGTGCAGGTCCTCGATGTGCAGTGTGGAAGGAGTGTGTGTGCGTGTCCTCAATGTGCAGCGTGGAAGGGGTGAGGGTGAGTGTGTGTGTGCAGGTCCTCGATGTGCAGTGTGGAAGGAGTGTGTGTGTGTGTCCTCGATGTGCAGCGTGGAAGGGGTGAGGGTGAGTGTGTGTGTGCGTGTCCTCGATGTGCAGCGTGGAAGGGGTGAGTGTGTGTGTGCAGGTCCTCGATGTGCAGTGTGGAAGGAGTGTGTGTGTGTGTCCTCGATGTGCAGCGTGGAAGGGGTGAGGGTGAGTGTGTGTGTGCGTGTCCTCGATGTGCAGCGTGGAAGGGGTGAGAGTGTGTGTGTGTGCGTGTCCTCGATGTGCAGCGTGGAAGGGGTGAGTGTGTGTGTGCAGGTCCTCGATGTGCAGTGTGGAAGGAGTGTGTGTGTGTGTCCTCGATGTGCAGCGTGGAAGGGGTGAGTGTGTGTGTGCGTGTCCTCGATGTGCAGCGTGGAAGGGGTGAGGGTGAGTGTGTGTGCGTGTCCTCGATGTGCAGCGTGGAAGGGGTGAGTGTGTGTGTGCGTGTCCTCGATGTGCAGCGTGGAAGGGGTGAGTGTGTGTGTGCGTGTCCTCGATGTGCAGCGTGGAAGGGGTGAGTGTGTGTGTGCGTGTCCTCGATGTGCAGCGTGGAAGGGGTGAGTGTGTGTGCGTGTCCTCGATGTGCAGTGTGGAAGGGGTGAGGGTGAGTGTGTGTGCGTGTCCTCGATGTGCAGCGTGGAAGGGGTGAGTGTGTGTGTGCGTGTCCTCGATGTGCAGCGTGGAAGGGGTGAGGGTGAGTGTGTGTGCGTGTCCTCGATGTGCAGTGTGGAAGGGGTGAGAGTGTGTGTGTGTGTGTGTCCTCGATGTGCAGCGTGGAAGGGGTGAGTGTGTGTGTGCGTGTCCTCGATGTGCAGCGTGGAAGGGGTGAGTGTGTGTGTGCGTGTCCTCGATGTGCAGTGTGGAAGGGGTGAGGGTGAGTGTGTGTGCGTGTCCTCGATGTGCAGTGTAGAAGGGGTGAGAGTGTGTGTGTGTGTGTGTGTCCTCGATGTGCAGCGTGGAAGGGGTGAGTGTGTGTGTGCGTGTCCTCGATGTGCAGCGTGGAAGGGGTGAGGGTGAGTGTGTGTTCGTGTCCTCGATGTGCAGTGTGGAAGGGGTGAGAGTGTGTGTGTGTGTGTGTCCTCGATGTGCAGCGTGGAAGGGGTGAGTGTGTGTGTGCGTGTCCTCGATGTGCAGCGTGGAAGGGGTGAGTGTGTGTGTGCGTGTCCTCGATGTGCAGTGTGGAAGGGGTGAGGGTGAGTGTGTGTGCGTGTCCTCGATGTGCAGTGTGGAAGGGGTGAGAGTGTGTGTGTGTGTGTGTCCTCGATGTGCAGCGTGGAAGGGGTGAGTGTGTGTGTGCGTGTCCTCGATGTGCAGCGTGGAAGGGGTGAGTGTGTGTGTGCGTGTCCTCGATGTGCAGCGTGGAAGGGGTGAGGGTGAGTGTGTGTGCGTGTCCTCGATGTGCAGTGTGGAAGGGGTGAGAGTGTGTGTGTGTGTGTGTCCTCGATGTGCAGTGTGGAAGGGGTGAGTGTGAGTGTGTGTGCGTGTCCTCGATGTGCAGTGTGGAAGGGGTGATAGTGTGTGTGTGTGTGTGTCCTCGATGTGCAGTGTGGAAGGGGTGAGGGTGAGTGTGTGTGCGTGTCCTCGATGTGCAGCGTGGAAGGGGTGAGGGTGAGTGTGTGTGCGTGTCCTCGATGTGCAGCGTGGAAGGGGTGAGTGTGTGTGTGCGTGTCCTCGATGTGCAGCGTGGAAGGGGTGAGTGTGTGTGTGCGTGTCCTGGATGTGCAGCGTGGAAGGGGTGAGTGTGTGTGTGCGTGTCCTCGATGTGCAGCGTGGAAGGGGTGAGTGTGTGTGTGCGTGTCCTTGATGTGCAGCGTGGAAGGGGTGAGGGTGAGTGTGTGTGCGTGTCCTCGATGTGCAGCGTGGAAGGGGTGAGTGTGTGTGTGCGTGTCCTCGATGTGCAGCGTGGAAGGGGTGAGTGTGTGTGTGCAGGTCCTCGATGTGCAGTGTGGAAGGAGTGTGTGTGCGTGTCCTCGATGTGCAGCGTGGAAGGGGTGAGGGTGAGTGTGTGTGCGTGTCCTCGATGTGCAGCGTGGAAGGGGTGAGGGTGAGTGTGTGTGTGCAGGTCCTCGATGTGCAGCGTGGAAGGGGTGAGGGTGAGTGTGTGTGTGCGTGTCCTTGATGTGCAGCGTGGAAGGGGTGAGGGTGAGTGTGTGTGTGCGTGTCCTCGATGTGCAGCATGGGAAGGGCTCCGTGTGTGCGTGTGTGTGTGTCCTCGATGTGCAGCATGGGAAGGGCTCCGTGTGTGCGTGTGCGTGTAGGCTTCCCCACACCAACAAGCAATACTCGGACGCCAGCAGGGGTCTGAGAACTCAGCTCAGTTCCCACACCAGCGGAGGCAGAACCAGATGCCACAGGTGAAGGGCCCTTGGCCCCCAGGCCGTCACACGGCCGGGCTGTGGTCACCTGACAGCTGCACACTGGAGGCTCTAACAGCCCTCCCTGGGACCCTCTCATTTGTGAGAAAACCCGTTCACTCAGACATCACTGATTTACCACACGGACGTCGAAGGCTGAGTCAGCAGCTGGTGACACCTGTCCTCACAGAGCTTGGCCCCGCAGGGTCACCGTGGAGGCATTCCGGGGTCCCAACATGGGGGCTCCCCAAAAGGACCTGTCCTTTCAGGTTTTCACGGAGGCTCATTACAGTCGTGACTGAAGTCACTGGCCTTCCCTGCGCCCCTCCTGAGAATCAGGGGTATCCCGACAGGTCCAATATCTAACCACGACTGGCTCGGCCGACAACCAGCCCCACCCTTGGGTGGGATCCAAAAGCAACCTCATTAACACAGAGACACCACGATGTCTCTCAACACTGGGAATTCCGGGCGTTTGGGAGCTCTGTGCCGGACATGGGTGAAGACCAAATATATTCTTTTTTGTCTTTTAGTTATTAATTTTTTAAATCCTCACCCGAGGATATTTTTCTCTTTGTCATCAGATAGAGTGGGAGGGAGGGAGGGAGGGAGGGAAAGAGAGAGGGAGAGAGATCAGTGTGAGAGGGACACATCGACTGGTTGCCTCCCGCACGACCTGACCAGGGCTGGGGCGGAACCACAACCGAGGTACGTGCCCTTGAACCGGAATCGAACCCTGGACTCACTGGTCTGTGGGCCAACGCTCCAAGCACTGAGCCGAACTGCCTAGGGCTCTTTTTTCTTTTTAAAATGTGTTTCGTTAATCCTCACCGGAGGACACTTTTTCCATTGACTCTTAGAGAGAGTGGAGCGGGAGGGAGGGGAGACAGAAACATCGACAGGAGACACACTGACTGGTGGCCCGACTCCCCTCCCCGTTGGCCTCCCAGCTGGGGCAGGGATGGGACCTGCAACCCAGGGACAGCACGCCCTTTCCCGCGATCGCACGGAGACCCCTGGGCGCCGGCTGACGCTCCAGCCACGGAGCACGCCGGCCGGGCTGCATTTTCCTATAAAAAGCCGTGTCCCATGCGGCCAGTGTCCTTCCAGCTCAGCGGCCGCATCACCGGTTCAGAGCCGCGCAGGGAACGGGCGACAGGCTTAGTTGTACAAAAGAAACGGGAGACAGAAGAAGGAACGATCGATAGTCTGCTGGACGTCCTGTTTATTCTGCGACCAGGTTTGGAAATGTGGGGACAAGCTGTGGGTGGAGGCATCTGGGAGGGACCTTGGCGACCACACGCAGGAGGCAGAGCCTGGCTCTCCACAGGGCGGACGGGCAGGAGGGTGCAGGCGGCCCACCCCGGCCCACCCTTGGGGCCCGCGCCTACTCTCGGAGCACGAGCGGGGCCTTCACCTGCTCGGCCGCCTCCTTGCCATTCAGCGCCTCGACGATGGCAAGAGCAAACTCGAAGCTGGTCCCCGGGCCCCGGCTCGTGAGGATCAGGCCGTCCTTCTCCACGCGACTCTCGGAGTAGCTGTAATGACCTTGAAGGTAAACAAGAAAGGGTCACATCCTAATGGGCCATGCTGGAGGAGTATCAGCAATTCCCTGTCACAGCCTATCTGTCGTCTCACGTAAAGCAGCTGAAAACCCCAAACGCTCCAGGGCCCCGCTGCCCGGTGCGCAGAGAGCAGGAGGCAGCGGCCCGCAGGGGCCCCGTGCTGCACGGAGCCCACGGAGCTACATTGCCTGTGGCCGCACGAGGCTAATTACGCCATTTCTGTAACCTGAGGGCAGCAGAACACACCCCCAAATACGAAGGAAGGAGCTCAGGACCCGCCACCCACATGTGTCGCTCTGACGTCTTGCTCTGAGCTGCGGACACCTGAACGCCAGCCCGTGCAGGAGGGGCTGTCTCTGGACCCCCCCTCTGCCTCGACAGATCCTCCGACAGCAGCTCAGTGGTCAGATCCTCCCAGCAGTTTCATTACCAGGGAAGGTGAGCTTATCACGGGAGAGGAGGCCAGAGTCACCGCCACCCCTAGACTTCGTCACAAAGTATCTGTCCCACCTGCCGTCTACTCTTCTGAGGGCCATTCACCCTTCTGAGGACCTAGAACCACTTCCTCTCCTCGAGCCCTGCCTCCCGCCCCTTAGGATGGTGTGTACGTCGGACTCTAAGCCACACCGGGAAGTAACCTGCCTTCCTGGGTCTCCCACGTATACCTGACATGTTCCTAACTTTTTGTTTTGCTCTTGTTAAAGTGTCTATGACAGGGCTCTGGGCCAAGAGCTCAGAGGGCCAGGGACAACCGCCTCTCCTCTCCACGGCGCTGGGGGGAGGGCTGCGGGGAGCGGCAGGCACAAACTGCCTGTGACCACCCACGTGCTGTCTCAGAATAAACAGCAGAGTGGGGACAGCGCTCACCCCTCAGGGGCCACGCCCCTGCCGTCCCTCCACTGGCAGCAGCTCTGCCCACACAGGAACAGGAAATGTGCTTCTCCTCCATCTGGGCAAGACTTGGACCACAGGGGCGGGATCCGCCCCATGGACTCCCCAGGGTCCCCCCAGCCCAGACAGTCATCAGACCCCCACCTGTCCCATCAGCCCCCACGTGGCACCCCGGGACAGAGCACACCCCGATCTTCCCTGCCCTGGGGAGAGCGCACTGGCTGCTCCCTTGCCCATTATGCTTGTCCCACAACTTCCTCTCCTGCCACAGCGTCAGCACTCAGAGGTGTCTGTGACCACCCTCCCTCCCTCGGGTCCCACGACCACAGCGCCATCCCCGCGCTGATGCAGCTGCGAACAATCCGTCAGGTCTCCCTGACTACTGTCCGCTCTTTGAAAGGCGGGACCTAGCGTACTGATGGCCCACGGAGATGCCCAGTCCCCGGAGAACGGAGGACGCCCCCCACATGCTCGCACCACCAAAAGACCCTCCAGAGCTCGGATCAGAGCCTCTGCAGCTCCCTCCCCCTCGGGACCCTGCGAACTTCCCCAGCACCTACAGTGACTCCGGACTCCGTGTCACGGTGTGCGAGCCGCTGGGCTTGGCCTGCGCACTGCCTGGACTGGAAGGAGCCAGAAGGGAACCTGCCATCCAGCTGGGCACGGTCACAATCAAGAGGGGATGAAGATGGGATGTAGCTGAGACAGAAGGTCCAGCCGACTGTCCCGGCCAACGGGGTGGGTGGTGGTGCCACGCAGTGACGTGGGAGGGTCCTGTCAATGCGGCTAGAGCTGGGCCCATGGGCACCCACACTCCTGACCACCTTCCTCCCCACCGCCAGTCTCTCCCACCTACGGGAGGAAGCCCCCTCCCGGAGTGTAGGGAGGGCTCCGGAGAAGCCTGTTCAGGGAACACACAGAAGTCCCCTAAGGGTGCCCCTAACGCAGAGCAGGTGCTGTTGTCCGAGGGCTGCAGAAATGCCGCCGAGGGCCCCGTCCTTTCCAAGAGGGCCGACACCACCTACGCCCACCTGCCGTGCTCTCCTCATTAACAGCCAAGTCATCCAGCCCGGCAGGACTCATTGGTTGAACGTTGTCCAGTACACCGAAAAGTTTCGGGTTTGATTCCCAATCAGGGCACATACCCAGGTTGTGGGTTCGACCCCCAGGCAGGGCGTGTACGGGAGACAACCGATCCCTGTTTCTGTCTCACATCGAAGTTCCTGTCTCTCCCTCTCTCTAAAAACCAATGAAAACATATTCTCGGGTGAGGATTAAAAAAATAACTGAACACACTACACCGAAGTCTCCTAGCTATGATGCTGTAGAGTTAAAGAGGACCCTGGTCCAGGGGACAGGTCTCCCTACTCTAACCTCATTTGCTGATGGCTAAAGCAGGCCAAGGCAATTTCAAATGCTAAACTAGAAAACCGGCTGAGCTGGGTCTTCCAGAGCCGTGGGACGAGCTGCCTGGACAGGGGTAGCGTGAGGCACGATTCTAAATGGTTCTCTTAAGAATCTCTCTGCGGGTAAAACATTACAAACACCACTTAAACTGCTTAAAGATGTTTAAAGATGTTCCACGGTGCTTCTCAAAATTTCAACCAGGAAGAGCCAATGGTCGGCTCTTGCCCACTACTGCCACCTAGTGGCGACGAGGAGGAAAAAGCGCACATCCTCGCTCACTAGTAAGTCCGCCTGGCACTTGGTGAACTCACACCTCATAACCAGTCTGCACCGGGCATTGGTTTCCTTTCAACTGCAGCAAACAGCTCAAAGCCAGAGTCTCTTCAGAGAACAAGCACCTGCAGAGGCCAGGGGCAAGGGGTCGGCCACTAACAGGGCTCCACCGGCGCTGCCCTACGGCTTGGTCAGTGGCTCCTTCAGAGCTGCCTCAGGCCTGAAGCCGCTGAAAGCCTGAAACATTTACCATTTGGCCATCAAGGGAAAATCGCCGGCCCCCGAGCACAGGGGACCTGGGATCGAATCCCAGGCCCACCATTTAGTATCTGTCTGACACCCCTGAGCCCCCCTTCTCCCTTCTGTAAAATGGGGACACCAACCTACCAGGACTGCTGCGGGAACCCAATCCAAACAAGCACTAGTACCGAGGGCGCATCATCACTGACAGTGGCTGGGGGGTGGCCTGGTCACCGCTGTGCCCAGCTGGCCTCCTGCTCAGGCCACGCAGCGTCCTAAGTGGGTCAAACACGTTAACTCACAGAGCCATCAACACCCTCCGAGGCAGGGCTACCATCACCCTCAGACGGCAGGAGAGGAAACGTGACAGAGGCGGAGGAGCCTGCCCAGCCGCAGCGAGTGGGCCCTGGCCCCAGACCCCACTCCTCACTGCTGTGAGCACCTTCAGGCGCTCACTAAAACAGTGGACAAGTGAGGTCTGAAAAAAATTCAAGTCACAACTCACTTACTTTAAAAAGTCAGAAGTAGAAAGACTTTGTCCCTCGGATGGGATTGTTTATTTGAATAAAAAAATCTCACCCTGGCAGGTTTTGCTCAGCGGTCAGAACATCAGCCTGCGGACCAGAGTCCCAGGTTCAGTTCCCGCTAGGGGCACGTACCTCGGTTGCAGTTTGTCCCCGGCCCTGGTTGTGGTCGTGTGGGTGGCAACCAGTCGATGTGTCCCTCTCACATCAATGTCTCTCTCTCCCCCCCCCCCTCTCTCCCTCCCGCTCTATCTGAAGACAAATGCAAAAATGTCCTCAGGTGGGGATAAAAAAACCTCATACCGACACTAAGTTCACAGCCACGAGCAGCCGAAGGGCCCCCCAGGAAGTCGTCACAGCTCCACCGCTCAGAATGGTGGAAGGGGGACTGCGAACACCCTTTCCCTTGTAGGGGGCTCACCGGCCAAATCCAGGGCCTGGCCTCTGAGCCCCTCTCGCCAGTGAAGTGAGATGACACACCCGCCAGCTGGGACTGGGGACTGGGAAGCTCCATCAAAGTGACGCGTGTGATCGCACTTGGTATGCGCCTGAGCGTGTGTCACTCACTTCTGCCTACTCCCACCCACCTCCTGTCCCCAAGGCGTCCCAGGAACAGAAAGAGGCCCCCCCGCCTCTCCCTGCTGTCCTCACTGCTGCAGGGAGCCTGCCTCGGCTCCTCCGGCCTCAAAACCTCCTCAGTAGCTCACAGGACACGAAATTCCTACACTTAAAAATGCCCAGCCTGGCCGGTTTGGCTCAGCGGTTAGAGCATCAGCCTGCGGCCCAGAGAGACCTGGGGTCAGTTCCTGCTCAGGGCAGTACCTCGGTTGCAGCTTGTCCTTGGCCCCGGTTGGGGTCGTGTGGGTGGCAACCACTCGATGTGTCTCTCTCACATCAATGTCTCTCCCTCTCTCTCTCCCTCCCACTCTATCTGAAAAATGGAAAAATGTCCTCGGGCAAGGATAAAAAAATGCCCAGAGGCAAGAGCCTTTATAAAAAATCAATTTCACACAGACAGTTTTGACAACTTAGTATCCTTCTAGCAACTAAAATAAAATCAGAGGTTTTCAAGAAAACACTGATTTGGGTCGAATATAAGAATACACAGAACGTCCTACACCAAGAACCCCAGTGTGAACTATGGGCTCTGGGCGAGGTGGCGGTCACTGTGGCTTCATCCACGTGCCAATGTCCCACCTGCTAGGAGGGAAGCTGCCAGGGGGGGAGGCCGTGTGAGTGTAGGGGAGGGGGACTGAACCTCTACTTTCTGCAGAATTGCACTGTGAACCTAAACCTGCTCCAGAAAATAAGATCTATTCATCTAAACAGAACAGCGACCCGGTGAAGCCGCATCCCTGTCCTCTGCTGTAAGAGGTGCAGGAGGCACGTTCGCCGCTGTCCTTTGCGTTCTAGTTCAGGATGAGCCCAGGGATGGGCTGAGCAAGGGGGAAAATGGACCAGCTGCCCCGCCATCTTCAAATCAGCTTTGATGCTGTGTGGTCTTGTCCCTTCGCTGATTTTGGCTGGCAGGTGCTTTAAACTCAAGTTTCCGCACCAGCTGAATGCCAGGCACACCGTGTTCAGCTTGTCCCTGGACATTTCTGGTTGTCTCGCAATTATCCACACAGGTGTGGTTTTTCTTTCTCTT